GGGGGAGCGGGGCTCTGAGGGGGCTCAGGGCTCTGAGGGGGCTCAGAGTCGCTGCCTGAGGGGGAGCGGGGCTCTGAGGGGGCTCAGGGCTCTGAGGGGGCTCAGGGCGGCCTGAGGGGGAGCAGGGCTCTGAGGGGGTTCAAGGCGGCCTGAGGGGGAGCCGGGCTCTGAGGGGGCTCACGGCGGCGGTCTGAGGGGGAGCCGAGCTGAGGGGACTCCGGGCGGGCTGAGGGAGCTGAGGGGCAGGCGAAGGGGGCCGCCGAGGGGTTTGGGTGGGTTGAGGGAGCTCGGGGCTGGCCTGGGTGGGTGAAGGAGCGTGGAGCCGCCCCGGTTGAGGGGTGGAAGCGGCACTGAGCGGAGCGGCGGGACAGAAGGCCTGCGCTAGTCCTTAGGCCGGGGTTGTGGAGGGTGATGGGGCCTTCTGGAGCTGGGTAAGGGGGAGAGGGCCTGCAGGCCCCTTTCCTCCGTGGTGGAGGCAGCGCTGTGCTAGGCCCTTCCTCCCGGTACAACGTGAGCGGTACAATAAGAACTCTGTTTGGGTCTGTCTAGTCCTGTCTCTAATGGCTAAAGATGCTCACAGAAGAGTAGATTTGGCATCTGGCATGCTTAGGTCTCAACCTTAACAGTCAGGGATTGGACAGCTTGCAGCAGAGGCTAGTTGCAACCTCTGGAAGGAAGTGGCATTATTTTAGAAGCTTTTACAGTATTTCAGCACTAAGCGGAACCGTATTCTGTATTGAGAGATGAGCCTGTGAAGTCATTGCAGGTAGTCCAAAGTGTATTTTATTCCTTAACTGATTCAAGCATTGCATTGTAAGGAGATCCAGAACCTTCAGACTTGTACCCAACAATCATGGACTGTGGTTTTATTTTGCTTTATCTAATTTAATTTTTTAATGAAGATAGGATTTTTTTGATAGTTTGTCTTCTCCCCATTGCTACTTATGCAATTAACATTTAATAGTAAATAACAGGAAAAAACTAAAATAGGGACTTGACAATAGCTTCCTCTAATCATGCCTCATCACTAATATCTCTGAGTAATTATCTGTCACTGTAAGCCATTTGTGTTAGTAAAAAGAGAAAAATAAAATGTGGTATCAAAAATATTAGTTCAGGAAATTCAATGTGACTTCGTGCTAAATTAATTATCCCACCCTGGAAAAATGTACGTATTTTATAATTCTGATTTAGGATATTCTGGAGGCATTTCCAACCACTTAAATGTCCCTTGCGTTGTTTATGACTGTCCTTAAATCTTACAAGCTTCAACTGCCGCCTCCAGTTTGTTTCCTTTTCCCTCAAGTTTCTTGCCTCATTCTGTTTGTAGCTCCACATGACTTTGATTTTAAAGCTGAACTAAAGAAGCCATGAAAATAATGTATGGTAAAATATTTATTTGTGGGTTTTTCCTGTATAGTTTTCCTTCCTGTCTTTTGCCTGATCAATCTATAGATAAGGGTTTTTGCACTGTTTCATACTCCTCATGCAGGAGTCTGGCACTGTGAGGCATTACCTTAATTGGTTTTAGATGCTGTCATGACTAACTCAAATAAATAATACAAGTAAGGGTTGGAGTTTGTCACTTCTTGTGTATGAACGTGATTGCTTTTCTTTACTTTTCAGCTTTGAGCTTTTCACTGTGTTCTCTTACTAAGTCTGAAACAAATTTAGTCATTGTCTGACATTTCCCCCCTCTTTGAAGTAAATGTCTTCAAAATAAGCCCCCTCATTTCATTTCCTTTAATGACTTCTATTCATGAACTGTTGTCATGTGCGAGTGAGACATATCGTATAGATGTTTTTGTAAAGTGTTCTGCAAATTAATGGTATAATATAAATGTATTATGGTAGGATCAGGGAAAGCACAACCAATATCATGTGGTGAAGGTAAAATCTCATAGTGCATGTCCTAGAGGAGTTCTAAATCTCTTCTGCCTTAACAACCTTGCTATATGGTATGAATTTGTGCAGAAGAGATGTGTTCATTTACCATGTAGAATGATAATTCAAGTTGATCTTGGAACACAGAAGTAAATGTGTTGAGATAATTTTACTTTATTAGGTATTCATTTAGGAAGAAATGAAAGTCAAAGATAGGAACAATAGCTATATAAAATATTCAGAGTGATTTCTGAAGAAATTTTACAAGGTTTCAGGTCATAAATTTCCACCTCAAGTAGAATTCTAAATAGATTCTGCAAACGAAGGAATTTATTGTCTGATGTATGAGTGTTATTCTTAACATCTGAAATGTGGAATATGGGAAAGGATGAGGGAAGAAGGTTCTTAGCCCTGTCAGGTGGGAAATATACTATGCCTTTTTGGAGTTACCAGGTCAGCCATTGCTGAATATGTCTTTAAAAATACATATATACATATAAAAATACATAATGTAGTAAATATGCCAGGGTTGTGATCTGTTCCATTGACTTTGTGATTAAAAAAAAATAAATTTATACCTTTCCTGAATACGGTAACGTATTTTTATTGGCTTTGAATAAGTTTTACATTTGTTTTTAAAGTATTTTTGAATTTTAAACTTCTTGGTCACTGGTCCCTTGAGACCAGCCCTGTGGCATGGTTGGTCCTTCACATTATCTGAAAACCCGCTTTGGGTTTCAAGATTTAGGTGCTCAGAATAAGACTTCTGCACTTGTAGACATAAAGGAATTCTTTGGTTCTCATTACTAAATTCTCCAGTTCTCCCCTCCTGTCTATTCACACTACTCACCTTGAGCCTATGTGTAGCAGAAGACAAGACTTTGCCTTTGGTTTCCATTTTTTTAAAGAGGTGTTACTGTACCCACCCTTAGTGGAGCAATAAATAGTGACAGTTCAGGTGAAAACTTTCAGTTGAAACTTTGTGCCTGGTTTTGGAGGAATCTGGCACAAAAGAAATGAGGTTTTAGTAGTTCAGCAATGTAGAGAAAGATTTGATCCAAGTTCTTAAAGCTTTGAGAAGTAGCCCCTAGTAATAGTCATCTTTGTTTTTATTAGTTCCAGGAAACCAGTGTTGGTGTCAGTAGTGTAATACTGGAACTGTAAATTTTTCACCACGTAGCCATTCTTGTGTCGTTTCAATGTCTCACTGAGACAGTTTTGTGTAACTGTCGCTCTTGCTGGTTTTAAACAATGAATTCTTACTTTCAAAAGAAGTTAAATAATGGTAGTATTAACTCTAAAAAATATATGTTCTTTTGTATCTTTCCAGTTAACCTTTTAAGTTCAGTAATAGCAAAATATTTATTTCTAGGTAACTTGGAAGAGAAATGCCTGACAGTGATTCTGTTTCTCTTGCTGGATCAAAATAACTTGGAAGCTGATTTGCAGTGGCTGTGGATCATCAGTGAAGACATAACAGCATTTTCTGGAATATTGAATGTTCTCTAGAATGAAGATCTCTCTTCTGCAGCAGATGTATAAGGACGTACTGGTAGGCATTCCACTAGCAAAGGAGAGCCATCATTACACCTCTTTACTTAACCTGTGTATTGAGCAGTCAGCAGAAAGAGATGAATCATGTAATTGGATGCATCTGCCATCTACTAATGGTGGCATTAGGGGCCACCAGGACGCTGATATGTCAGATGTGGTTGTCCCTACAACAGATGACATATCAAATAGCTTTGCAAACATGAGCTCCTCGTTCTGTCCACGAGAAGTGATGCTGCTTCAGTTAACCTTGATCAAGATGATGGTTGCTAAAGCAGAGTCCCAGGAAATTGAACTCAATACGAGACAG